TTTCAGCCTTTCACTGGACGTTTTAAAAATTTTTCCCAGTTATTGATTTAGTGTTTGAGCAAGCTTCTGAGAGGTCAACTGTTTCCACCCATGTACAAGTTTGGTAAAACTGAACAATAACCAGAAAGAATTTGATAATTATAAAAAACATTTCAATCGCTTATTTCACAATCAGCTATATCAAAAATAGATGTGTGAGGTTTAATAAGAGTTAATATCTCATATGATTATTAGAGTACCGCTGATTGTATCATTAAAGATTCCTATATAAGCAGAGTATCAATACTAAACAGATTAATTAAACCTGCCAACATCCCTTTGTCATTCATATTTGAAACCCTCAGGGCCATAAAATTCATTTTGCTGGCCAATGATCAACTTCCAGCCCTGAATTAATCTTTTATTATACATCTAGTCTTCAAAAACAAACAAAAAAACTTCTACATGTAACTATGCCAATTCATGTTTTAAAGTAAAAAACTTTATGATATTAAAAATTGTACATTTACCTGTGAAAGATTCTCACATACATGTATCTTATATTTTTGTCAAGAGGAAAACTTACGTACAATATACATGTTGTTAATTTCAGATTTTCAAAACTAGGCATTTTTGAATGTTTCATTGGTTGTCAAGATAATCATAATGCATTTTGTTCCATAACTTCAAAAATAAACACATCCTTACTACTTACAAAAAATATTATACCTTAGTATTTCAATAATTTTCATAATCATTGTAGTTTCTAAAAAATCATCTTATTAGATCAGACAATACAAGTCATGTAAAAAACATAAATCCAAATATAAGGTGTGAGAGAAAAAAAAAATAAAAAAGGATTAACAACCCTGTGACTTTGTTTAGCTTTGTTTCTCTGTAAGTGTCCAATAAAGTGCCACTTTTATATCTATTACATTTCCTCTAGTATCTACAACATGAGAACAAATTTAAGACTAGAAATGTTGTCACGCCACGGATGGCCCAGCATGCAGAAAACATTTCAAATGTTATAATAATATTTAGTTCCAAATTTGTTTTCACAAACTATTTTTTTCATTCTAAGTTCAAAGGCCCTTAAACTATTCAATGTTAACACAAACCATTTTTAATAATAGTTCAAGGCCATGAAGCTATTCTGTGTTAACTTTGCAAATTGCATATTGCATTTTTGTAGCCGAGATAATGACTACATGGCTTTCCACAAAAGTGAGAAAGCAAAAACTGAAAATTTCAAATTTTTTTCCAACATTCAAGAAAACTTTTGTCAAAAAATCAACGAACCATAACCAAATTTTGAGCTTGATCAGCATATTCCTATGAAAATCCATAAAAAATTTGAGTTGAATATGTACAACAGTTGGGGATTGATAATGAATGGAAAACTGAAAAATTTTCTCTTTTTTTTCAAAGTGAAAGGGGCAAACTCTGCCAAAAATCATTGAACCATGACCAAATTGGAACTTTACCTGCCCATTCCTTTGACATATCTGAGTTGAATGTGTACAACTTATTGGGGAGATAAATGAACAGAAACTGAAAAATTTCATCAAGGGGCAAAACTCTGTCAAAAAATCATCGGACCATGGCCAAATTCGAACTTGATATGTATTTCCCTATGATAAATCCAAAGGTCAAATTTGAGTTGAAAGTGTGCAACTGTTACCAAGATAGTGAACGGAAACTGATAATGACGGAACAGGGTAACACTATATGCCCCAGCCATTTTATGTATATAGCGGGGGCATAAAAATCATTCAATTCTAAGATTTAATCATGTAAAATATAATGTGATGCAAAACAATAGCGTCTTCTTCATATGTAAAAGCTCAAAAGTTTTGCTTTCTAGAAAAATTAAATCAAAGACTATTTTAAGTACATGTACTATTTAGAATAGAGACTGCCCAATGGAACAGATTACTATTTCAGTGCTTAATCAAACATTAAAAGCAGGCTTTTAAATAGCTAATCAAACATTAAAAGCAGGCTTTTAAATACATGTAGCTATATGCAAGAAATTATTCTAAGACTCCAGTCTATATAATGTGAATTCATTTAATTTCATGGGCACAAAATTTCATGGTTTTGTCACTAAGAACATTTTCCGGGATTCTTCAATTCCTGTACTGTTTAATTTTCCAAAAGCCTTAAGGTAAAATGTAAATAATGTAATGCAAAATAATCTTACAGCAAACGAAATGAAACATACACCAAACTGCCAGAAGTAAAAAGTTGCGCAAGACAACTCAACTCAACATGGATAAAACTTGTGCTAAGTTATATTAAATCCATCCATGTATATAGAAGTTATACTCGCAAATGAATGTTTTACTTTGTTTTTTTACCTTTGACCCCTAAGTGTGACCTTGACCTTTGCCACACCACCTAAATTTTTCACTCGACATTCTACCTCACTATGGAGAACATCTGTCCAAAGTAATATAAAAATCCCTCCAAGCATGTGTAAGTTAATTTTGCACTGACCACCAAGTGTGCCTTTGACCTTTGAGCAGCGGACCTGGGTTTTATGTGTGACACACCACCCCATCATGGTGAACATTTTTACCAAATTATTTTGTAATCCTTCAAGGAATGAGCAAGATATACATGTTAACCCAACAAAAATGCATGGACGGATGCACATACACCGAACTACATGCCAAAAATGGCAGCTAAGTTGAGCTCACCGCAAGCGGGCTCGACAAAACCATGAAAGTTAGTTCCCCACAAACGATAATGATTTTACAGTAATAAAATGAGGGTTAAGGTCATATAGTATATAGTATTCCAGCTTTCAATACAATATCTCAAATAAGTATAAAGAATTGTTAATATAAAACCTTCTGAGGAAACTGAAATGAAACCATGAACTTAAATTCTAAGCTAGAAAAGATGACAAAGATAAACCTTTTATCCTTTTTGAAAAGTAGTAAATAATGATACACCTTTTATACTTACAATAGGCTGTCTAGCTTTTTCTTCCAACTCAAGTACCTTTAAACAACAATATCAAATGATTATTAAATCAAAAACATGTCAGAAAGTATACCCGCCAATAACTGGGATAATAAGACATGTACTATACCGTTAATGATTCATAAACGGTATGCAAAATTTATGGTCTTCAGAAAACAATCAATGATAAAAATAAACTTGTCTTGTAAAATACTCCCTAAGTAACTGGCAGATTACAGTCACAATTTGAAGTTTATCACTGATAAGATCAACTGTAGTTTCTGATACTTACCAGTAACCATAGTTACAACATAACTCAGATCTAACTCTACAATTTCATGGACATTCCAGGGCTCGACATTAACGGTTGTCCGACTGCCCGGGACAACTAAAAGTTTGGTCCGGGCAAGTTATTTTGAAAAGCACTTGTCCGACAGGGCAAGTGAAAATAAAAAGCATCATTGACAAAATGCATGTACAAAATGAATAGAAATAACATCTTTTCATTTATAAACATCTTTAAAACAAAAATACACCATGAATTATTATCAATAATACAAGGTAATTCCCGGGTTATGCTGTTGTTTAAATTTTGATGTTTGCATGTAAAGATATCATTGAAAATATGTAGATAATCATATTGATCTTTAAATATAATTGTTAAATAAAGTTTTTGTATTAAAAATGATTTATTGTTTAATCTAATATAACAACATTATGAACTTAGTAAACGAAGACTCGTTTACGGCTATTGACTTGATGATTGAACGGGGAATTTCCTTACCGCGGCGCATGCTCATATTTTTCCTTCCGTTTCCTATATCAACAAATGTACATGACCGTAGTATATTCACATTGAATAAACAGATGAACCGATGTTTTAGAAAAACTACTAAATACAAAAAATATTTATGAGCTTGTTTGTTTTTCTGATTTATACATTTTTACCAATTTTAGGTCAGGACAAGTAAGTCTTAGGTTACGGGCAAGTAGTTTTAAAAACTACTTGCCCGACAGGACAACCTGATTCAAAAGTTAATGTCTAGGCCTGCATTCTGGTGAAGGCAATGCACCTTTATAATAATAACCACTTAAGATATTAAGCAGTAACAGTGTATAACAATGAAGTCAAGTATAACAGACAAATATCTTCTCCTGATAAATGCATGCAATTGTACATGTTTCTATGGCAACTTACGTAATTTTCTCCGAAATGTCTCTGGCCATGATTATATGCAGTTATGATGTCAGAGACTGGCTTAGTCTTGGTCACTGCTACAAGTCTAACAGGAATATCTGGCAGGTTCTGAAAAAATGAAATATTTAAAGTAGGGACATTTGGTTATACAAAGTATAATACAGTAAAACTCGAATAATGGTATCACTTCCTGCCTCTAATTACATGAACATTTTGAAAACCTGGCTAAGCCTCTGAAGGGAATTTTCACCCAAAATAAACATTAAGATTATCACCGTTTTTAGTCCATTGACAAAATCAAACTGGCTTCCCAGCTTTGCTGTATGCAAATGCGCTGCGCTTAAACCTTTGAATTTGTCAAAAGATTTCTTAAAAGGAGTAAAACGGCAATAATCTTGATGTTTAATTCGCCTGTTTCATTGATTATATTGATGTTGAAGTTTAAAATTGACCATCATCGTCGAGAATATTGTCTTCTGTGTCAATGGACAAAAGGATTATGTAAAATATTGGAAATGGAATAAAATGCAAGGTGATTTTGACAGTAGGTGTGCATATTATTTTTTGGCGAAAATTTTTATCTTGTGTATGAAATAAGCTTTTTTATACATATATGATCAATAAATGTGCTGAGTAGTGAGAGTGACAAATATACATTTTATTTGGATTTTAAAGGCGTTTTGAGCTCAACACCCCAAGTCACGTGCACAGGGGGCCCACACAGTGTTTGGATGGTATATACTGCTTGATAGTGACCTTAAAATGAGATTTTAGTCATAACCTTATAATATGTATATAAATATAGACAAGGGGCATTACTAGCAAAATAGAGAATTTTCGATCACCCTCAAATTCATGCGAGATTTTCCACTAATTAAATAAAAAAAATCCAAAAACTAAACTGCGTTGCATAGCTTATATAATCCACAATTGATAAACACTAACTCTTTTCTGATTCCCTTAGCCCATTTTAAGAAATTTATTCAAAACCGTTCTCTTCTGTCACAAAATTGCTTAGTCGTACGAGATGTCGCAACACCAAATTCCACGGGTAAAATATCAATTTTAAAAGGGGTAGGTGCAAATAAACGCATGCAAACAATAACACAACATAGTTTCTACTATCAGTAATAAATATTGTAAACAATTTCAATCCTGCAGGTCGGGTAATGTGCCCGAAGTAAAAATCACCTTGGTAACGACAAATTCAATTTTTGCAATTTTAGGGTCGAAACACCTTGCAAATAATTTTTGACGGGTCTCACTAAAAAGCGTCCCGAAGGATTTTAGCGTCCCGAAGCGTCCTGAAGCGTCCCGAAGCATTATTGTTAATTTTAACAGCCAGAAGGGTTATATTTATTGTAAATAATGTATATTATTATGTATTGAGGTATTTATGGTAGAAAAAATATTCTTACTTATCATTTTTTCTATTTATATAAAAAAAACCTAACATACCTTCGACTCCAGTTCACTTGCTCAAAAACCACCGTATACCGACAAAGCGTCCGGAAGGTTTAATGTTTATCTGAACCAAAATTATTTTGAAATACTTCGTAATTTTAGTGAATGAAATAGTAATATAAGTAACAATAGCGAGAAAAAATGTTCTCCAATACATAAAATTATCTTTATAGCGCCCGAAATCGTACATCTACCCACGCATAGTTCAATCGCGTACTGACTAACATAGCGTCCCGAAACGTATTCATGGGTTTTTATTTTTATCTAAGCAAAGATAAATCGTAATTAAGTTCTTTTATGATATGTGTAAGTGACATTAAAAAGGAAATAAACATTTCATCCACAAAATATTATTTTACAGCGCGAAAACTGACGTTTCCCATGTTGCGCTAACAAAGCGTCCCGAAGAATTTAGCGTCCCGAAATGTCATGAAGCGTCCCGAAGCATTATTGTTAATTTAAAACAGTCAGAATGGTTATATTTATTGTAAATAATGTATATTATTATGTATTGAGGTATTTGTGGTAGAAAAAAATAATCTTTCTTATCATTTTTTCTATTTATTATAAAAAAAAACCTAACATAAGGTGCGACTCCAGTTCACTTGCTCAAAAACCACCGTATACCGACAAAGCGTCCGGAAGGTTTAATGTTTATCTAAACCAAAATTATTTTTGAAATACTTCGTAATTTTAGTGAATGAAATAGTAATATAAGTAACAATAGCGAGAGAAAAATGTTTTCCATACATAAAATTATCTTTATAGCGCCCGAAATCGTACATCTACCCAAACATAGTTCAATCGCGTACTGACTAACATAGCATCCCGAAACGTATTCATGGTTTTTATTTTTATCTAAGTAAAGATAAATCGTAATTAAGTTCTTTTATGATATGTGTAAGCGACATAAAAAAGGAAATAAACATTTCATCCACAAAATATTATTTTACAGCGCGAAAACTGACGTTTCCCATGTTGTGCTTAACAAAGCGTCCCGAAGAATTTAGCGTCCCGAAATGTCATGAAGCGTCCCGAAGCATTATTGTTAATTTAAACAGTCAGAAGGGTTATATTTATTATAAATAATGTATATTATTATGTATTGAGGTATTTGTGGTAGAAAAAAATAATCTTTCTTATCATTTTTTCTATTTATATAAAAAAACTAACATACCTTCGACTCCAGTTCACTTGCTCAAAAAAACACCGTATACCGACAAAGCGTCCGGAAGGTTTAATGTTTATTTGAACCAAAATTATTTTGAAATACTTCGTAATTTTAGTTAATGAAATAGTAATATAAGTAACAATAGCGATGAAAAATGTTTTCCATACATAAAATTATTTTTATAGCGCCCAAAATCGTACATCTATCCACGCATAGTTCAAGTCGCGTACTGACTAACATAGCGTCCCGAAACGTATTCTTGTTTTTTATTTTTTTCTAAGCAAAGATAAATATTAATTAAGTTCTTTTATGATATGTGTAAGTGACATTAAAAAGGAAATAAACATTTCATCCACAAAATATTATTTTACAGCGCGAAAACTGACGTTTCCCATGTTGCGCTAACAAAGCGTCCCAGAAGAATTTAGCGTCCCGTAATGTCATGAAGCGTCCCGAAAGCATTTATTTTAATATAAACAGTTCAGAAGGGTTATAATTTCTTACCATAAATGAGCCAGGGGCCACTTTTAAAAACCAGAATTAAATGCAAATATAGTTCAAAAATATTACTTTGAAAATAAATCAAAAAATCTGATTTTTATGCCTTTCTTAAGCCCGATTTGAGTGAAAAGCTTTAAACGCCTTTTCATTTTGGGCCCATTGTTTTAACAATTTGAAATAAATTATTTCTGGAAAAAACGAATTGCGCGAATATCTGAAATTTCGCACAAACCCATTAGTCCAAATCATGACAAAAAAACTTCAGGTGAAGTCCCTTTTTAAGGAAAATTCTGGGGACTATCTTCATTATAACTTCCGGTTGTCCATTTGTATATCACCTTGCTTATCTTCTCCTGGAAGTAGATTGCTAATCTGTTATTCGGGGTGATATCTGATTCTTTAACACATTTTTTTTAATTGCGCAATAGTGCCTTTTTCCACATTCAGTTTTTTATCGTCGTGTATTTTAATGATTTTTTATTTAACGATTAGCGTCTGCTTCTTAGCTTTAACGATATAAGCATGCATATAATATATATAGCAGTAATAAAGTAAGTCTCTTTATTCGTTGAATTGTAACTAAAGTATTTTATAACTCAACATATGAGTGGCAATGTACTTTTTAAATCATGTTATATGTGTTCTATGTATATTGTTGTATATTGTTGGGAAAGTCCATTAAAAGGGTAATTCTGCATATTATCCGAAAACGAAAGTGTCAACAACTAGATAAGAGCCGCGCCATGACAAAACCAACATAATGGGTTTGCGACCAGCACGGATCGACACAAGCCTGCGCATCCACACACATGCTGTGCGCTATCAGATTCTCTACTTGTTATAGGGTTTGTAAGCGAACAGCGGATGCCAAGGCTGGTCTGGATCCATGCTGGTCGCAAACGCATTACGTTGGTTTTGTCGTGACGCGACTCATATAGTTTAATTCTAACATCGTGATAGCTCAGGTGGTAAATCAATGAATGACATTCCAATAATACATTTCACATCATTCTAGGAATGACATTCTTTATAGTTGTAGATAACTGTTATGCACGACTTTCACGTGCAAATTTAAATGTCGAACTATACATACATACGCATGCATGCATCACACCATTCTAGGAATGACATTCTTTATAGTTGTAGATGTTGTTGTCATGTCAATGCTTGCATATATATGTATATATGTTTATGTTGTTTATATGCTATAAACATTGTATAATGTTTCAGGCAATAAAATTTGAAATTGGAAAAAATATTCTAATGTATATAATTGAACGAATTAACAAGAGACTATCTAAGGAGTTAGGTATGCTAATTTTTTCCACACTTACGGCTGTATTACAAATCGTGATTGATATATAATTACTTCAGGCACTATTTATGCAGGTAGGTGTTACATTGTGTTAACAGTTTACTTTCATTCAAACATTAAAATATGACAACATTTTCAGCTCAGTACTAGTTATTGCGTACTGATTACAGTCTGACTTACAATGGCTAAAGTCGTACTATTTGGTGACAGTTATATCAAACGTCTTCACTATCACTGTGCCGAAGATCCACTGTTAATACCAGGGCACGTGCATTGGTGTTTTAAAGGCGGTCTAAGAACCGATCATATGGACCATGCCCTAATACTGTAAGGACTACCACACAGACAAGGTCCATCTTAACACAAACGGGCACAAAAAATTCAGGGCCAGATTACAACGCGTGCTGTGTAAAACAGATACGTGAATGGCTGAAAACTGTCCTTTTAAGGACAACAAAAGGCCCTTTTAAGGGCCACACACATGTCTCGAAAGAAATTACCTCAGTTGTCAATATATAAATCAATCGGAATATAACCTTACCAATGAATTTCCGTTTAATAATTTCTATCAGTGCATCATACATTAAGTAATGAATATATACAGAAACAGAAGAAATGTATATTTCCTTGTATTAATTCAAAATATCGGTGATTACCTGTTTATAATACTTATTGTAATACTTACCAATACTTACATACTATTTCAGGTATTCACAATTTCATGATTTTTGCCCGTGTAATATACACTTATTTTTACATATCTACTGTGATATAGAGTCTGAAAATAAAAAAAAAAGTTTTAAAAATTATCATACGATTTTTGAAATTTTACATTTTCTAGTGTTAAGATATAAACAGAAAACAACAAATATGTACTGTTATTATATATACACTAAAATGTCTAAAAACTATTATATGACTTATTCACAGTTTTACGAACGAATGTCCGGATATACAATGCAATAAACTAGGAAAGGCAGTTATCTGGACTCTTTAGTAATGCGTACACAACGGGGGGTGGATGGAGTGCGGTATCCATAGCGATTGCGGTTAATTTCCTCTATCGATAGATTACAATCTTTCACTCCGTTTACGGCTTAAAAAAATTAGAAATACAATAATTAAAATTTAGACAATTTAAACAAATCATAATGATAATAGTCTTGTTAGGTGGGATGTCATGTATATTATTTATTAACTTGACAAAATGATATTAGGATTGCAATGAAATGAACACACTAATCAACATAAGGAACGAGACAATGAATCACAAATCAATAAATATAGATATAGAATTAGCGCAACATGGGAAACGTCAGTTTTTGTGCTGTATAATGATATTTTGTAGATGAAAAGTTTATTTCCTTCTTTATGTCACTGACACATAACATAAAAGAAAAACACACGATTTATCTTTGCTTAGATAAAAAAAATACCATGAAGACGTTTGGGACGCTATGTTAGTCAGTTAGCAACTTGAAACATGCGTGGATAGACGTACGGTTTCGGGCGTTATAAAGATAATATGACTTTATGTATGGAAAACATTTTTCTCGTTATTGTTACTTACATTACTATTTCATTAACTAAAATTACGAAGTAATTCAAATTAATTTTGGTTTCGATAAACATTAAACCTTCCGGACGCTTTGTCGGTATACGGTGGTTTTTGAGCAAGTGAACTGGAGTCGAAGGTATATTAGTTTTTTTTTATATAAATAGAAAAAATGATAAGAAAGATTATTTTTTTCTACCATAAATACCTCAATACATATAATATACATTATTTACAATAAATATAACCATTCTGACTGTTTAAATTAAACAATAATGCTTCGGGACGCTTCATGACATTTCGGGACGCTAAATTCTTCGGGACGCTTTGTTAGCGCAACATGGGAAACGTCAGTTTTCGCGCTGTAAAATAATATTTTGTGGATGAAATGTTTATTTCCTTTTTAAATGTCACTTACACATATCATAAAAGAACTTAATTACGATTTATCTTTGCTTAGATAAAAATAAAAACCATGAATACGTTTCGGGACGCTATATTAGTCAGTTAGCAACTTGAACTATGCGTGGATAGATGTACGATTTCGGGCGCTATAAAGATAATTTTATTTATGGAAAACATTTTTTCTCGCTATTGTTACTTACATTACTATTTCATTAACTAAAATTACGAAGTATTTCAAAATAATTTTGGTTCAGATAAACATTGTTTTCTAACATAAATACCTCAATACATAATAATGTACATTATTTACAATAAATATAACCCTTCTGACTGTTTAAATTAACAATAATGCTTCGGGACGCTTCAGGACGCTTCGGGACGCTAAATTTCTTCGGGACGCTTTTTAGTGAGACCGATTTTTGACAGTTGAGTTGATTTTTGAGGTCGAATCATTACAGAACAAATTTAAATGCAACAGGCAATGTCATGTGCAAACAATAATTCAGAAGCATTTGTAAAAGCAAAATGTTCTTCAACATACCTTTGGTCTTCCATCTGATGCTTTTTGGATTTTTTCCAAAACATTTTTTAAAGCCTTTCCGATTTCTTCGCTGTTAGACGCCATTTTCCTAAACATGGTTTGCTCGATTAAGATATTTGACCTTTTAGAAGAACATGTTCTGGGCTAGACTAACACCCAAAGTGGGACTGAACTGTCCTAAATTTAATGCCAAAATAATTTTGATATTATTAATGAAATAAAATTTCTTAACGTAAAGTTTAATGGTATTATTAAATTTATTTAAAAGGGTATTTCAATGACTTTAAAAGTGTGTACTACTTTGAGTTTGTATATCATGATTTTTTTTAAAGTTCATTTCGTACTTAATAAGTTGCTCTGTTTACGTTTTTAAAAAACACCTCTCCTTTCAGTAATTTATCTATTATATTGTTTCTATTGTTGTATTTACAGTGGTAAAGTGAGGCATTTTGCTTCAAATCGTAGGTTTTAGATCATAAAAAATCAGATTCTAATTTGCCAGTACAGTAAATTTATACATATGCACGTGTATGAAGGGGGCTAGGGGCCATAGAACTACCGAAAGAGGTAATCGATCGACCGCTTAGTGCAGTGTTTAGGCAGTAGATCGTCAATGAATTCTTTTTTTATCAGAGTGCAAAATAAATTTCTTAGGAGGACACACCAAGAACAAACCTTATGTATTAAACTCTAAACACAGATGTAAACACAGTACTGTATGGATACATAGTGTCATTAAAAAGGGCGTTTTTAAACACAGGACCAAATTAAATTGACCACTCAATAAAAGAGATTGAAGCTTCTAAAACATAATAAAAAGCATTCCCTTACTTGAAAAAGACATATTCATTAAGAATTACCTACATGTAGATTTCAATAAAGTATTTTACCAAAAGATGAGCATAGTTGCCACTTTCATCATCAAGTTGGTACTTAAAAGAATATGTTCTGTCCGCAAATGTTCGAAACTGTTTCATGAATTTCTACAACTCTAGCACATGTAAAACTTCAAAATGACAAAATAACAACACCTTTACGTGTATGCATTTTTATAAAATGATGTATTGCCCGTTATTCAATGATTGCAACGATAATTTAAATAGAAAAAAATGATACAATTTGAAACGTGTTAGGTAAATTTGATCTCTTTTTTATTCTGAAAATTTGTAACATAAACTGTTCTGAAAATTAAAAAGAAATATTTACCCATGTGTCCTGAGTGTGTGAACAAGAATTTCGGTTGTGTGCCAAATTTGTCGAAATGACAGAGAATCTAAAAGAAAACAGAACGCTATATATTTATATCATCAAAAATAAGAAATGAATATTTGCTATGAATCACCATTCAAAAACTAATTCCTCTTCCATTTAGGTCTCTTAATAAGACAGCCCTGAACTTAAATAGCGCCCCTGTTACAGAGATCATAGATCTTTATTTCAGTGGTGCTTTCTGAGTATTCCCAGTATTACTAATTGGTAACATTAACTGAGTATCGTTGCTATCACTGGTTGATAATTTAATCTGAACAGATTTTATTATACTTTGTGTCATTGACAATGTAATAAACACTGGTACCAAATTAAGGTGTATCAAAGATAACCTGACTACTCTTGGTAATACATGTAGTTCTTACTTTGGTCTTCGTTTATTAAAAGTTGTATTGTTCTTTGAAAAAAAAAATCTTAAAAATGAATTTGTTTATCTACAAATCTGCACTTTTTTTACATTTAGGAAGTTTGCAATATTATTTCAGCCTAATATCATTAGGGTCTTTCAAACGCCTTGAAAGGCCCTGATATCATTATTTACTCTGAACAGTTTATATCGTACCATTCATGTCAGTGGCATTATTATAAACACAGGAACCAAAGGTTTAACAATTAATTTAACAAATTTTTGCATGTAATGTCATTTTATTATTATAAAACATCGTATCAAGAAAAGTTAAAAAAAAAATCAATTTATAAAATATAAGTCATTTCCGCGGATATAAGTCATTATATAATGACAATAATTATGGCACCATTAATTGATCGTAAATTTGGTCCCTATATATGTATGTAGTTTAGTCCGTTTTTTTTTTTGTAATTTGTATTGTTATTTATAAATTGTAGCCAAAAATAAAATTGATTATTTACAAATCTGCACTATTTTACCTTTCACTGAATGTGCAATATTTTTTCAAATTAAGTTTTATCAGAGACTTCTATAACATATAAGGTTTTATACAACAATGAAAATTAGATCAGGATTGCCATTTTGGTGATATCAAAAGTAAGACTTGTCGATGCCAACACTTGTCCATTTGCAAATTCATTGATAAACCAACGGCATTTTTTTTCGTTGACATATTGAGCAACGATATGCCAATTAGTCTGGAGTTCCTTCCCCTTTCGCTACGCAAAGACTTGTTAGATGCCGGGAACCAGAATATATGCCAATATTAAGAATAATACAGTGGTGTACAACCTGGAAGGAAGAATCAGAATTTGTGTAGGTATGAAATCAAGAGTATCTGTGCTTTTCGAAAACGAGATAAAAAGTAAAATGCATTTCAATTGCTAAATGATCGGGAAAAATAATTTAGTAAGGTATAGTTGTCAAGCTTTATATAAAAGATTATTTTGAGGACAATTTTGTTCAGAATATTTAACATTATTTTTATCTACAGTTCATATGTCATTAGATTTCGCGATTAGGTTTTCAGGTCAGACACTCGCATTGATATTTCCATAGACTTACATTTTAAGAAATGGTCCCTTATCCTACCTTAAAATTCAGTTTTCATGCTAAAAAGGTATTTTTTCTAGCAGAATAAATTGCCTGACACATAAAATGTTCCTGTTATATAGGGGTAGCCAACCAAATTTTTTGTGCAAAATGACTTCAAAGAGGATTACCCCCCATTTCATTGAAATTTTCTGCTGATCACAGGACTGACATACACTTTTTATAAATGCAAATATCCAAGTCAAAATTATCACAGAAACTCATGAAATATTTCATTTTCTACAGAAAACATTGTAGTGTTACTTTTTAAATTCGTTTTCATACTTAAAAATACCCCACGTTCATCCAATCGCCTCATGTATAAAAACTGAATCATATGGTTTTCCTTGCACTTTTTTCAGCCAATCGCTGGCCGTGTTACAATGCGATACCCTGACCTTCAGGGGCAGGGGAAACACAGGGGACCTTAGATTTCGCGACTAGGTTTTCAGGGGCAGGGGACCTAAAAATGAACAATGTTGTATTTCAGTGTGGCCAAAAACACAATTCAAAATATTTCAAAATCTGTTTCACAGGCAGATAACTAGTTGAACAGCATTATTCAATGATCTGTGACATGCATTGAAGAAAATAATAATTTGCATGCATTGCTCCTTGAAAAAATGACTGATAGCAATTTATATTTATCCCCACCCAGCCAAAATCACACCTAAAATATACCAATATGGGCAATCTTCATGAAGGTGCAGTATACTCCAGAATCCGCCCGATTCCTTTGAAAATATCACTAACACGCAGTGCAAGCTATGGCATTTTTAAAAATGACCAATAAAGTGTCTGTCATACGTTTTGATTTTTCACAAAATTTATCCGAAATTTCTTACTTGTTTGGCGCCGACTGTCCAAGCTTGATTTGTAACTTTTTCACCTCCATTCGGAGAACCACAAATACATACAAAATTACCAAAATGCTAAGTTTCGGCTAAAACCCCAAAAATACTTCTCATTTCCTACACACAAACAAGAAAGAATTACAATGACAGAAAAATATCAGAAGTTTCCTTACCTTCAAAACACCATGTCTGAGTTATTAAAAAATTTGACCGGGGCAATCATTCAAATATGTCCCCTGCCCCCTTTAGAATGATGATCAATTTTCATGACGATGATATTTCCGGATATTTACAGACAGTCTGTCAATTAATACATTAATTATTAATACACTGTCATAATTTTAAGAATTTGGATTTTATGTATCTGTAATTTATAGACATTAATATGGGTGCACTTAGTTTTCAGGCATATGCCTAGTCCAAATATTATTTTAGATGTAACAGTGGATTTGAAGCTATTTTTTACATAGGTCAAATCCACTTTAACGTCTAAAGATATCTTTTAAAGTCCATAGAGCAAAATGAAAAACAGTAAACATGCACAATCATTCAAACTTCGCATGTAAAATGTTACAAATAATCATAATCCTACCACAAATGTGTATTTTCCTTCTAAAAAAAACAACTTATTCAACTTTTTATTCAACAATTTTACTCAATCCCGTGTAAACAGCCTCCATTTTTAATGCCAGCAACTTAAATCACAAACAGGAAAAAATTTGTTCAGACTAATTTCGTATTATTGTTTTTGAGTGACGTCACAGTGTGACCGGGATTTTCCAATATGGGGGGGGGGTCAATATATAAATAACACATGGGTTTGTGGGTAACAGTAAAAATATCATCCCGAGTAAAATACTGTTACCCGAGGCGTAGCCGAGGGTAACAGTATTTATACGAGGGATGATATTTTTACTGTTACCCACAAACCCATGTGTTATTTATTTTATTACCCCGAACAAATACTGTGATGATCTGAATTTGGCAACTAAATCTAACTGTAACAAAATAAGCCAAGAGAAGCAATAACTAAACTGTCCTTACCTTGCAAGTTTTAAGTGCACTGTAGGCCTACTTGAGAAGCTGTTTTTCTTTTATTCTTTAAGCAAGTGATGATATCTACCAGTCATAAACATAAAATAAGATGTATTTTATTCAGAAAGCAAAACACTAACTCATTTATAAGGTTATGATCTGTGAAATCTGATCCTTCTGCATCCATAATATTCTTCGCATGGTTTTTGACAAAGTGCATTTAGAAAATAACAATGATATCCTACAGATGTATGTCCACAAACTCTATCTGTAACGTTTCAAACACTGGTTAAAATTGTTAAATTATCCTTTGTTGCATGCTTTAATTGTCTGCATGTTCCAGTTTGACACAAAATTATTTATATTACAATTACTTCCGTTGGAAACGGATGTTCCCTTTTGACTATTCAACAAAAAGATATTTAATACGCGAAAGGGACTCTGGATTGCAAAGAACTTAATTTTATCAGAGGAATAGTTACTTCGGCG